AAGAAAGAAGTATAGAAACTTGGAACCTAGTGGGCAAAAAGGACAGTGCTTTGAGATAACACATACAGATAAGCAATGAGTTAGTCAGCATACATGTGAGAGCCTTACTATGCACTGCTCTATGTCTAGAGTATAACAAGAGAGACATGATAACTTGTCTTTAAGGGCTTATATTTCAGGTGTGGAAGCAACAATAAACATGTAAGTACATAAATGTAATTTGAAGTACTCTAAGTACTATAAAGAAAATAAAAGAGTTTCATAGAAAAGAGTAACTGGGAGGGTGCTTAACTACTGTGGCCAGGGAAGACTTTTCGGACAAGATTACAGCTGAGCTGAGGCCCAAATGGAAAGTTGAACAACCATGCGAAGTCAAGAGGAAAAGCATTCCAAGCAGAAAAAAAACCAGCAATCACAGATGCCTTGTGATGGGTGGTTTAGGTTTAATGGACAGAAAGGTCAGTGTGACTGGAGCACAGAGAATGAAAACAGAATAGAGGAAGACGAAGTCAGAGATAAGAAGCAACCAGATCGTGTAAGGCCTGTAGGCCACTGTAAAGAGTTCAAATTTTATGCTAAGGGTTTTATAAAGAATGAAAGGATTTGATTTGTTTTAGAAAGATGAACTGTACAAGGGTAAAAGTAGAAGCAGGGAACCAGTTAGGAAACTTTTGTAGTAGTCCAGGAGAAAGATGATGCTGATTTTGACTGGGGAGTCTTAATGAATAGCTGAATGGGGGTATATTTTAGACTGATGGACTAGATGTGGGAGTCAAGGACGGTTCTTATGTTTTCAACCTTTGCTATTAGGTGGAGGATGGTACATACCCTTTTCTGAGATGGGGAAGGATTCTAGGGAAAGAGATTTGTAGAGAAACTCAATAGTTCTGTTTTGCTTAAGTCTAAGGCCTATTCAACATCCCAGTGGATATGCTGAGAGGGTGGTCTCCTAGTGTGAAAGAGATGGAAATCAGGATGGAAATGTAAATTTAAGTAATCAGTGTTTAGGTGGTATTTGAAACTATTGAACAGACGTGATCATCAGGGGAGAAAGTGCAGGTAAAGAAGGGATGTGGGCCTTACTTACAGCCCAGGTTATGAATTGTGGAGTCTATCCTGAAAGCAATAGGAAGGCGCTGAAGGGTATAATAAAGAAATGACCACACAGCTGTGAGTTAAAGTACACATATGTATGGATCCGGTTGTAACGTGGGAAATAATCCAGAACAAGAACAGATAAAAAAGGACTAGGACCAGCGAGGCGATGCCTGTGGTGCTAGGCAGAAGCTGATTAAGTGGCCTGGTCTCCAGTGACAAAAGTGGAGATGAAGAGAAAAGGATTGGTTTGGAGGATGCCTGCGAAGATGTCTAGACGTGATTTTGTCAACTGATGAGGGAAGGGAGAGAGAACAAAGATGATTCCTAATTGCTTGAGCAGCTAATGGAAGAGGAAAAAAAGTACCACTTCCTGAAAAAGTAGTCTTAGAAAGTAAACTTTAAAAAATTTTTTAATGTTTATTTATTTTTTGAAAGAGAGAGATGGTGTGAGCCGGGGAGGAACAGAGAGACAGGGAGACACAGAATCTGAAGCAGGCTCCAGGCTCCCAGCTGTCAGCACAGAGCCCCACGCAGGGCTTGAACTCACCAACCATAAGATCATGACCTGAGCTGCAGTCGGACGCTCAACTGACTGAGCCACCCAGGCGCCCCTATAAAGTACATTTTTTAAAAAGTCTTCAGTTTATTCCTTTTTTGAGAAAGAGAGAGCGAGCAGGGGAGGGGTAAGAGAGAGGGAGAAAGAGATGGCTCAAGCAGGCTCCCCACTGCCAGAGCAGAGTTCGAAGTGGGGCTGGAACTCACCAACCGGGAGTTGCTGATGACCTCCTGAGCTGAAATCAAGAACCCCACAACTACTGAGCCACCCAGGCGCCCCTGAAAAGTCCATTTTTTTTTTTAATTTTTTTCTTTAACGTTTATTTATTTTTGAGACAGAGAGAGACAAACATGTGAGCAGGGGAGGAGTCCAGAGAAGAGAGGAGACACAGAATCTGAAGCAGGCCTCCAGGCGGAGGCTGTCAGCATAGAGCCAATCTGCGGGGGAGGCGAACTCCTGAGCTGGCCGAGATGTGACCTGAGCTGAAGAGAGGCCGGACGGCAACCAACTGAGCCACCAGGCCCTGAAGGAATCCATTTTTTGAGAAGATGTGACCTCCTTAGTGGAACTCAATTTTAAAATGCCCACAGGCCAACCAAAGAAGCGTTTAGGAGAGCCGGTTGGACCACTGCGGTAGGTTCACCACCTGCACATGCGCAAGGGGAGGAACTGAAGTTGAGAAAAGTCAAGGACCAAGGCAGGCTTAATCTTTCCGCTTTTCATGGTCTTAAGATGGCGGAGAGGGGCTGGGGGGGGGGGGGGGGGGGGGGAAGGAAGTCTCACTAGGGAGTGCCACGCCTTACTCATTATTCCTCCCAGGTTAGGTCAGGCAAGCAGGAGAACTCGAAGATCACCTGGAGCAAGCAAGCGGGGACAAAAGAAAAGCGTCTCCGTGGGGGCTGATCTTGCTGCGTGGCAACTTCGCTGACCTGGGGTCACCAGGGGAGGCTGAAACAGGCAGTTTCCTTACGGGGAAAGGGTTAAAAAAGGTCTTGACGAGGCAGCGGGGCCTCGGAGGGAAGGCGAGGGGGAAGCCCTGGTCGAGGCGAGGAAAAAGCCAACAGCGCCTTGCGCGCGTTCTGTTCTCTGGCAGCGCACCGCCCGCCATCCCTTCATCCAGCCGAAGAGATGGCCGACCCAGGCATACGCCGCCGCCCCCTGCCAGCCAGCAGACCACCACCTCATGACTCCTGAAGTGGCATGGCCTATAACCCTCTCGCCCGCTGAAGGGAGGGCCATAGGGAGAACCAATAACTCTCCTGGAAAATAAAAGAGGAATACCTGGCGCCACCCCTCAGGGAGCACCAGGCCGCTGTGGGCGTTCTACCCTCAGACCCTCAAGACTTTCCCAGGCAAGGCAGACCCTTATACAGGCTCACCAGGGGTTCTTTAGCGCCATGACCTCGACATAGTTCCGCCAGAGGAGGCCAGGCTGTCTTGGTGACGTCGACTGCGCCGCAGAAAGCTGTGACTTTCCTTGAACTCACTCAGGCAGAGCAGGCTTCGCGCGCTTTGAAAATATGCCATGCCAGCGGCATGCTCCAACCCTTTCTTTTGCCTGGCTCGCACCGCTCCCGCCCACCCCGCCGAGACGGCGTTCTCGCGCCTGGCAGATATTATCCCCCTGCGCCTGCCGCTTCAATGAAGCGGCGTGCAGAGGTTTGACCGTGATATTGCTGGCGTCTTGTATCAGCAGCGGCCTGCGATCTATGGGTGATCCGCCGCTCGGAATCGGGTGGCTGCGAGCCCCCACCCGGCCGGGAACCTTTTTGTCACTACTCATCCTGTCCACTGATTTCACTTAGCGCGCATAATCCGTCGCGTGCGTTACCTGCCGTGGGGCTGTGTCCTCGCAGACCTACTAATGTGTCCAGCATCGAGCACTTTCGCCTTTCGCTCTTCTTTGGTAAAATCCGGTACGCGGTGTTGTAAAACAGGTTTTTTTAAATTTTATTTTAATGTTTGTTATTTATTTTGAGAGAGAGAGAAAGAGTGCCGCGAGCAACGGGAGGCGGCAGAGAGGGAGAATCCCCAAGCAGGCTGCACTACGGTCAGCTGAAACCCTGACCTGGGTTGGAACCTCAGAAACCATGAGATCATGACCTGGCCCGTCGCGGAAGGCGGCGACAACGGACGAGCCGCGTTAGCCTCTGTAAAACAGTTATTCATATCCTATTTTGAAAAAGAAGTGGAATGGGGCGACTACTTGAGTCACGCGAGGTCAGGAACAGGGGTCTCTGGTTTCAAAGCCCAGCACCTTCCCTCCAACTCCCTGCTGATCAAATTCTGACCATGTGAATTATTAAGCGATTTGGCCCTACGTCATCGGGGGGGGGGGGGGGGGGGACTGGGTGTCTGCCTTCCTGAAAATGGACCTGCCCAGATACCCGGCGATCCCAACTCTTACGTGTACGGTCCTCCTGCATTCTCCTGCTTTCCTCTTCACTGCTCATGGTGTTCCCTCTGTTTGGAATGCCTCCCCCACCCCACCTGAAAACTTTACTCCACATGCCCAAATAGTAAGCTCTTTGAAGGCTGAGTCTTGTATATCTTTTTATACCCAGGCACAACTGAGCACCTGCTACTGAGTAGTACACGCAAAGACCTGGAAAAGCAAGGCAGGAAGAAAAAGGAAAAGTGGATGGAGGGGGAGGAAAATATCTCACCTGGGCATCTGCCCCATCTAAAGAAGGCATCTGCTGTCCAGTGTTCCGCTAAAGGGAGGCCTGTGGGAAGTGTGGCCTGGTAAT